CTTCTTCGGAACTGCTGCCTGGAACTCGTATATTCTCCTCTATTGGCAATGACACAACTCTTTTAATGACGGTATGACTCGCTGGAAAATTAAATCCTCCATCTTCAACTATTCAATCGCATAACGGTATTGATTGTCATTCGCAGCTGTCCCTTCACTTGCGGACACCAGCCAGATACGGGCAAACTCGCATATCAAATTGAAGTCTGTCGTTCTTGAGTGCAGGGAATTGGGGGCGAACAAAGAAGCTAGGGATGCAAAGTTAGCAGCCCTGCGCCATATTTTGCCGTGCAGTTGACGAAGAACGACTTTTGCCCTTGAAGTAACTATTTAAATTTTCATTTTTTCATTAACCTACAGCAGGTTAGAAATAAAGTTGGTAGACTATGGAGCCTGCGACAAGACTTCATTCACGTGTTTTACTCTGAACAAAAATATTGCATATATTAATCGTTGATTGCAACGTGGCAGAAAACTGCTTGCAAGGCAAGATCCCATTTCGTTCTCCTTAGCCATGCGCAGGTTATCGAGGTTTGGTTTAGCCGTCGGAATCCTATTCTGTACTGCTTCAGTATTTTCGCTATTTAATATGGGAGAAATTTTGTTTGAAAGTACACATTTGATTTGCCCGTGAAGGGAATTGCGTTCTTTGGACTGCATTTGACCCTTACTACGACGAAGCTGTTAAAAGCTATAAAAGGTAGGGCTCTAGGGCTGCCTACTTCCTGAATAATGTATGTGCACATAAAAGCATAAAATCGGGAACAACAAGCCATTTCAAATGCGTGTGCATGAGGACTCTGCAGGTGTACGTATCCCATCAAGCAGCGTGTTTTTTCGAAGGAATTACCCTGTTCCAGCCTCTTTCGAAGGAAAACGAACCGAAACACTTTCGTACATAAAAGCAGGTGCTTTTTTAACAGTCTAGACGCCACAAATACTGGGCCTGCAAAAGTGCCCATCAGAGAATTCAGAAGAGTATTTGGCGAGCATAGGTAGCTTTGGATAAATTATCCTCGGGCCAGTACATTTATATCGGAAGAGAGTAAATGGCAATGGTAAGTATGTTCATCATTACAGGCACATTAGTCATAAGAATAGAGGAGGGGGTTTGGGTGTTGATAGTATTCGGCTGGCTACGAGGCGATGAGGGTTTCTGGAATCCGGAAAGAGGGTGGGGGTGACGGTAGAAGGGAGAGAAAATGGAGAACGATGCAGGCAGTTATATAACCGTTGGCCATTCCAAGCTCGGAGCTTGCAGGAGGTTCTTTTGCGCGCACAAAGCTGACTTCCTTAACCGTGTAGTGTTTGCTTCGACTGCGTCTAGCGAACGCTTATCCAGGAATTTCGGGTTGATTGGTGGGATCTTATAAGTTACCCTGAAGCCTTTGTCAGTGTCAACATGATGTCCTGAAAAAAAGCATGTGGGCAAGGATGGTGGTGTTAATGCTGCTGACTTAACCTTTGCTCAGCCATGCCGGGATGTGCTCTCGCATTATTGTGAATAAGCGCCGACTCGCGCGACCGATATAACCTGCTCCACTGGAGCAAATAAACGAGTAAATGCACATAGAAGTTATCTGAGCTGGCAGCACATTCTTAATTCGCCGTGCAGGAACCGGTTTGTGGAGAATAACACCCGAACGTTAGTGATACGGCTTGGTTGAGGCAGCTGTATAGGAGTTTGCTAGCTGTGTCGTCTTAAAAGGAGACTTTGAGGAATAGCGTCTTATTTTCTACAGTGGGTGTGGTGGGTTTTAGTCTTCCCTCCATCATATTCTTTATATTGAATCTGTCCGGATATCTGTTCTCCCGAAGCCGTTCCTGGGTTTTTTTGGATCTCTATTTCAATAGTGTCTGCCGAGCAGATTTTTCTGGCTTTTTGCGTTAAGCAGTGGACTATGTTGCGCTTCTGTTGGATGGGTACAAAACTGTTTAAGTTTCTATACTGTGCAGCTCAGGCATTCTTTTGATAAGCGCTCCCTTGGAAACAACCGTCAGCTCTTCGACCTAGGAGATCATCAAAGAAAGGAAGCGAACCTGCCGTTTCCGCCTCCAACGTGAATGTAATGGAGGAGTGTGCTTTCTTAACAGCATATAGAAGCGCATCTACATAGGTTTCCTGCTGGAGCAATGGCGAAGATATCATCGGCCTATCGACCGTAGTGTTTTAACTCATGGATCTGCTCACTGAGTGGAAATGTATCCAGGTTGCCCATGAGCATATTAGCCAAGAGAGGCCCAAGAAGCGAGCATATAGCGACGCCATCTATTGGTCTATCCAGTTTCTTGTCAAAAAGAAACTGCACATTTAATGTTCATTTACGTAATAGTTCCTATGAGGCATCAGCTGGTATTCCTACGTCTATTTGATTGGCCACTAAGAATTCGCAGATGTAGTCGACTGTCTCTGTGATTCGGAGGTTTTTTAGCAGAGATGAGACGTCTAGGGGGAGCATCATCGCGCCTTTTAAGTTCATGTCTTTGATGCCGTCGATAAAAAGGGACGTATATTGATAGGTATCTTGTACGAGGTGCTGTTAGGGTTTGAGTTTCTCTGCCAACTACTTCGCTATCACATGATATGGCGCGTTTCTTTGTAAGTTCTTTCTTGTCTCTCTCCACTGCAGTCTTGCCTCTCTCTGCCTTTACTTAGGATCGTCAATTTTCTCCGGCCCTCGAACCAATGAAACACGGCACATTTTCGGCCGGCCACAGCCTGAAGAAGCACGGTTTGGCGGGTACCAGAGCTAGCAGCGTCAGTGAGACGAGTCTTCATCACACGGTGGGCCTGGAGACGGCAACTCCCAAGAGTCTGTCCTCCAATGACTATCCTCCAGCCTACGAAGCTTCGGACAGTAGGCACTGCTCCCGTCTGCGCCGGTATTGTCTTCACTGCTGCACTCACTCGAGGTCAAGAAAGGCGACTGACAATGAACTGCAGGTAATGGAAAAAGAAAACTCATGTGTCTATTAGAAACCCCGTAGATGGGCGTCAGGGAACACAATAGGCGGTGAGTGTGTGTCCAGGGGCTCACTATCAACGGTAAAACAGAATAACATTACCGACAGAGAAAAAGAAGACGAGCGGATTGGTAGTTTCTCGCTTTCTAGCCCTCATCAGCCAGCCATACTCACCGAAATGTTGTTCGCCGAGCCAAGTTTTAATTCACGACCACTTGATTATACCTTCAACGCTTGCAAAATTAATCTGCGTGTTAGTCGTCTCATCGGTTAAGATTGGGAATATGTGTGACTGTTGGAAATGCTCTCTGGTCCGTTTTCACCTGCCACATCGTCCCCCAGTTCAACTTACTTATCTCTATCGATTACCTATTAGTTGGTTTAAGAGGGATGTTGCAGGGGTTGAAACGCCTGAAGCGCTACTCCTCGACCCGTGGGTTAGAAGTCTAACGCTCTAACTACTGAACCATCGGCTCTTCCTTTGCACATTGAGGCATCTCCAGCCCTTCCAGCATCCTCACAAAATCTTGTATATAAGGCGTAATGACAATTCCACAAAGCATCATTTAAAAGTTATAATTGGCAAATGCATGTTTCCTAAAATTTATTATCTGACCTGTATAATTTTATCGATAATGAGAATAGCAGAGTTGTAAACAGCGTTTATAACTGCCTTGTGATTAAAACTTACCGTTTTTACACCGTTCGCATGGTAAGCTTCGCATTTAGAGATCAATAGACTGGGAAGGGGCTAATTTGAGTACGCTCTCATTATTGGCTATGGATTGAGTGAACAACTGTCACCATAAGGTTAGGACCATTTGCGATCGCTACCTGGCGTCGGCGTCAGCAACGAAAATTTTAATTAATCTCCTTGGCTACTTTGAACTGGATTTCCGCTTACATTTAAACTTATGTTTCTAGGATCAGTTAAATGGAAGTTGAGCAAGAATTCGCATGAACACATCTGGGAAGAGGAGTAAGCTTTCAATTGTTCATAATTAGAACTTTACAATAAAGGGGAAGGGTAGAGTAACAAGAGTGTTGAAACTCATTCAATAAATAAATATGCGGGAAAGTGTTGAGGTCTTTCGGAGGTCTTGAGTTATAATCTAGTCCTGTCGGGGTCTGAGGGAGGGGAAAGGGCAGGAAGTATTTAACAATTAGGTATGTTCTTATTTTAAGCTACCGTGTGATGGGGTGTGGACAGACCTGCCAAGGGAGCCTTTGAGCTGAACTATTCAGCCGTATGGCCAGTGCCTCTGCCGTCGCAAGTATCTAGGGGCTTATCGATTCTCTTGGCCATTGTCGCCCATACTTTGAGCTAGAGGTCGACTTTACCGGTCCTTAGTTAACCTAAGCAGAACAGTGCCCTCGAATCCACTTGGATAGGCGTCTAGATATTCGACTTACACAATCTGCTCCACACCAGCACAGGAACACGTAGATGCACGCCGAAGGCTTATCGTAGGGCGTAACTTTAACACGTATAACCCTCGCCTGGCTGTGAATTCGAGGCCCTGTGAGAAGAGAAGAAGATTGAGATACCAGATGGAGGGAATAGTTCAAAGGAAGTGGAGACTGTGTAGGAGGAAGTTGGCCGTAGGACAAGCGAAGATATGCACCGATGCGGGACAGCCTCTGACAAGCGCCTCTAGTGAGATCAGCCTTGAGAAGATGAGTTACCGGACCGGATGGGCGTTGGCCTACAAGTGCGAACATGCTACCAGTCGCGAGGTGCTAAAGGTTGAACGTTGCAAACGGAGTTGTGAATGGACTACCTAGACTTCCTTCCAGACGAAGTATTGAAGCGTCTGAGAGAACAGGTCTTAGCTTGGCGGCTGGGTACGCGCTTAAGACAGTAGTGGTTAAAGTCAGAAGTCCAACAACTACTGCGTAATATTCACAACAGGCAGCTAGTGCTATAACATATGGAATAAATTACTATACTGGCAGCACGTGTAGTCGCTGAGATTCCAGAGACACATGTGTCACCGGAATTCATCCGCCGCTATTTGACAGAGCTGCGAGGAGTCCGGCCCATCAGCGGACCCACTTATTTGCGCAACATGTCGGCCTTTATCTCGAATAGACTGATCGGCAACCCTAAGAAAGGGGTGGGGGAAATTTGTCCAACAATAAGCTATCTTAGCGATAAAGTGATTTAGAAAAGAAAATGTTTATTGTGTGAATTTAGGAGTCTGGCTCCCCAGCACGTCTTCACAGAAACGAGAGTATCGCGAGAACAGGTAAGTCAAAACGATGACTAGCACAAGACTCTACGGTGGGTCAGCCTGTGGGGAGATCATATTCAACCGTGTTCAATTATGCGGTCAGTCGTAAAGATGCATACTCCGAGGAGTAACCAGCCAATGTCTCACAAACGCAGCTGTATTAATAGCTTGCTCAGTTGAGCAAACACACACTGTCCGGATGAAAGCAGCATGCTTTATTTGATGCGCATTATGTATGGTCTACGGCACTAACCCAACGATGACGCCCACTAAACGATTTAAATCATCTCAGCAGTAGGAGAAGTGGCGATCGCTGAGACAAGAGGTTTTTAGTTTGAAGTTTTGAGGTCTCGCTCAAAAACATTATTAAAGACAATCGATGATAGAGCCGCGAGGTGCGCAGTATTTATAGTTTGTAGTGGCCACGCGGCAACATCCGCATTACAATCGAGAGCCCTCGTAGTCACCGCTGGGGATCGTGCGATTATAACTTTGCGGCTTTACTTGTCACGATTTCACAATCCGTTGGTGGGTTTGTAGCTCTTGTTGGA